TTCCGATAGAGTGAATGCTTTATGGCCTCTTAGGCCCCTTTGAATGTACAGCACATATACACTGAAAAAGGCCTTCTCTTCAGCCACAACTCCACCTGTGTGAACCAGTCAGCCATACGACAAAGATACCTGAAACACCAGCAAGGGGAGTCAAACAACTGTTTCTACACCTTTAATGGAAGAGTAGAAACTCAGCTTTAAAAAGCATGCACACACATATCCCTATGTAACGTGTGTATGTGTGCACACATATTTTAAGATTTTTATTTATTTTTAAATTAGGTTTATGTTTATGTGTGTGTATGTGTAGGTGTACATGAGTGTAATTGTCTGCAGAGGCCAGAAGGGGTTTGACAGATGCCCTAAAGCTGTACTTAGTGTGAGCCACCTGACTTGGGCTCTGGGATTCAAACTCAGGTCCTCTACAATTACAACATGTACCTTTAGCTGCTGAGCCATCCCTCCAGCCTCTATTTTTTCTTTCTTCTTCTTCTTTTTTTTTTTTTTTTGATGGTTCAGAGGTCTAAGAAGACACAGGGTTGAGCTGTTCATGGAGGTGTAGTGCTTGTCATTGTTTTAAGCTCTTATATTGGTGAGTTGAACAATTGTGAGGGGGATGGGTTTGTTTTACTGCGTCCATCTAAATGAGACAGCATCTGGACTTGCTGATTACAGAGCCACCACTGCTTCCTTTTGTTACTGTTCTTGTTATTTGTCCCTTAGAGGGAGACAGGGTCTCCCCTTGTATCCCAGTACAGCCTGGAAGAGATTACAGTTTCGTGTAACACAACTCATGGCTTATTTGCTCTTTTTCAAAAGCAGTGAAGGAGTCTGGGGGTGTAGTCAGTGAGTAGAGGGCTGGTCTTGCTTGCATGAAGCTAGGTTCAGTCCCCAGAACCTCCTAAATGAGACGTGATGGCACTTGTGCCTGCAACCCCATATTGAAGGGTTCTTAGATCCTCATTCTCAGTTATACATGGAGTTCCAAGTCAGCCTGAGAAATTAAATACTGTCCCAAACAAACAATAGGAATAGAGAATAACAACCCATAAAGACCATAGATGGTACAATGGAAGTCAATGGAACAGCTATGCACTGTGACAGAGAGATGGGGTATCGCTTCAAATATTATTTAACTAAGGCCATAATAGACTAGAAACCAGAAGAGGTGCTTCAGCCCTGATTGGTAGTTTCAGAGTCCTCAGAGGCCTTGAACAGATGTTTGCTCAGTTAAAGAGGTCTCCAGGATCAGTCAACTTTGTGACAGAAGTTAGAGTCAGCATAGACTTGAACCCAGTGTCTGACTTTCATACTGACTTAAGAAGGAAGGAAAGCTTGGTAAATTTATATGCAAAAAAAAAAATGTACAGCAATGGGGCTTGAACTCATGGCTTTGTGCTTGCCACCAGCTTCATCTCCAGTCTCTAATTTGCAAACTTCTGCAATACTTCTTAAGAACTTATGGCATCTAGGCATGTGATCTTATTTAAGATTTATTACCAACCTGGGAAACAAGAAGCATACTGTAACTGAGAACATCACACTCAAAAAATGGTAAGGAACTTGTACAGAATTCTCTTTAGTGGCCCCAGAACTACTAGACAGTAGTTCTGTCTTCTGAGTCCACATTTATCTAACAGGTATTCCAAGTCCATTCGACTTTGTAAATGTTCCCCCAGGCCATGATACCCATACCCACAAATTCCCAGACAGATATGTTCCTGGTAGATTTTTGCATGAGTCAGTCAACACTTGAACTTATTTTATTTTTAATTTATGTGTATATATATGTGTCTTGTGTAGGTATGTACACTAGAGTACAGGGCAAAAAAGGGTGTCAGATCACCTGGAGACAGAGTTAGAGGCAACCATGAGTCACCTGATGTGAGTACTGGAAGCCAAATTCCCAGCCCCTTGGAGAGCAGCAAGAGCCATTAACTCTTGAGCCATCTCTCCAGCCCCATCAGTCAACATTTAAAATGCTGGAAAGATTTTTCTGTCTTTCGGTTGACAAAATGATTATGTTCAGATGCTTGGCTCAGAGTTGGTTCTAGGGTGTCACTACACACCATTCTTTTAAAACGTGTTCCAGCGCAAAGCTTCCTTAAAATCTAGGTAGCAGAGCACTACTTGTTTGTTGACTTATTTTTAATCTGCATGTGTCTTGGACACGTTGTTCTGTAATGTGGAGGAAGTGTCCTGATAGGAATATACTCATGCAGGACTATTCCATCGATGTCAAGCATCTACAGACAGTTCTTGATGCCCACTCTTAGTTTCCTATAGTGACCTGTTGTACACTCACAGACCAACTTGAGAGCAGTCGACCACACATTAAAAAACACTCCTCCAAGGGAAACAAACCCTAAAATTCTCTGATAGCGTGACCTGGGGCACATTCCCACATTCCAGGCTGAGGTGTATGGGAGTTGGGGAGGGGAGGAGGTGTCTGAATTAAATAACTGGGCTTGGTCAATTAGCATTTCCACACTGACTTGACCTCAAAACCCTGTTCACAGAATATCTTTTAACCCCCTGAAGACTCAGTTTCCAAAACACATTTGGCTCTGCTTTACATATTATAAGCAAGGCAAGTCCCCAGACACACTTCTGCCCTTTCTCTACCTTGAACTCACAATCCTTCTGCCTCCAATCCCCTGTAATTACAGATGCATGACACCTGCCCCTGGCTCTTTTCTCTCCTTCCCTCCTCCCTGATGTGCACAATCCTTCATGCCTACTTCTGCCTCCTGCATGAGACTCTGAATGACCACACCCAAGCAGATTAAAGTTACCCATCTGGCTGAGGCATCTCTCACAATTTGCCACAGAATCCTGAAAGCAGGTCGACTTGCCTCCTTCCTGGAGGAGATTCATATTGGGGCTTCATGTGTCTGCCGTATCTTCCAAATCCAGTTCCGCCTCCCCCTATCTACCCACCCCCATGTCATTCTTGTGTATGCCTTTGTATGTGAGTACGTCCCTGTACTGTAGCGCCCCGGCCCCCGTTCCTTGTTCATGTACCCCACCCCAAGCTCCTACATACATGTATGGGGACTCAGAGCACTAGCTTGAGCATTTCTGTCTTGGCGTGGGTCATCTCTATCCTGTATGTAGCCCATAGACATCCCAAAGCATTGCTCTCATTCATATGGTCTCTAAAGGACTCTAACAGTTACACCTTATGGAAGCTTCCAGAAGTATTGCTTTGGTTTTGCATGCTATTCCTCTTCTCCTCTGGTCACCTCATAGCCTAAATGAGCTTGTTGGTTCTCTCTTCTATTGATACCACAGCCTTCATATTTGGCAACTCTGACTTTTGCAGAGTTCTCTCCAAATGTAACATGCAAGTACCATCTCCAATAGCCCCGTAGGCTCTGAGCTCCCCTTCTAGCCTGCATTTTCAGGACACTCTAACTGGGGGTCAAGGGAGGAAGAGGCTAGCCAAGTCCCTCTTCCAATAGAGTTTCACCTCCCAGTTTTCTGACTCTGCAGTATCAACAGCACTTGAAACCTTGACCAGCAAAATATAGTGACCTACATTTCCCTGGTGTGAGTATTGTATGATTTATGAATATGCATGCTCCACCACATAGGATTTGGGGTTGAGTGGATTTGAGAAAAAAGTGTGAAACATGAATCTTGAAGAAGAGTCTCTCTAGTAAGGTTTCTCCAGGTGCCACTGGCCTGTAAATCCTCCCTTCAAAGACCCCTGTGGAAGAGAGTCTCTCTGCTCTGATGCCAGGTGGAAAATGATGGCTGTGGGTGGCTTCAGTCCACGGAATCCTGCCAAGTACCCAGGACTTGCTTAAAGTCCTTCAAATGTACTCCCTGGTTAGCTGGAAAATGGACGTCTCTTTGCAGAGATTTCCCTTAGCTCTGCCTTTTGAATGATAGATATGTTGAGGCTTCGCCCAATACTGTTATTTACTTCTCCATAAGTATGTGTTGTATAATTTATCATCTAGAGCCCTAATGACTTCCAAGGCTGTATTTCTAGCTCAGACCTGTCCCCTGAGCTCCAGGCTCCATACATCCTGCTTTCTTCGGGACAACTACCTATCGGAGATCTTTAACAGAACGCCCAGCCAGCACTTCCAATGCACTTTGTCCTATATACAAGTAATTACACCCTCATAAAATTTGTTTTTTCCATGTCCCATCATCTAACATGAAACCTAAAAGTATTCTGAATTCTCTCTACCCAGGCCCCTAAGCCAGATTGTCAGTATATTCTCCAGATTCCACCTCCTGAGAAGCATAGCCCACTCAGTTGCCACTAACTCTGGGTGTTCCCCACTGCAGGCTAGCTTCTGTCTTTGCTCAGGGTTTCTGGGAGAAGAGATTTGCATGTTGGGAGAAAATGGCGGGTGCTTTAGAGAACACCTACTGTGGGAGTGTGTGAAGTTAGAGTGTAGTGGAGTTATACACATAGGCCACATACATAAACACAAATAAAGAAATGTAATTTTTAAAATTAAAAAAAAACTAAAATTCAAGTTAGGAGCTAGAAAAATGGCTCAGTGGTTGAGAGCACTTGCTGGTCTTCCAAGTTCGGTTCCTAGAACCAAGTCAAGTGGTTCACAAGTGCCTGTAACTCCAGATCCAGGGGATCTGATATCCTCTTCTTGCCTCCATTGACACCTGCATTCATGTGTGTGCGTGCATACACACACACACACACACATACACAATTTTTTTTTTTGAGAATTAAATGTCCTTTTAGAAGAAAAACTCAAAGCAGTTCATTTAGCTGGAGGCCTGATGGAACTACCTGACCTTCGTAAGACAGACTGCAGAAACTGGTCAAAGCTAGGACCCACTCACGGTGCCCAAAGTGCCACCTGTTTTTCAGCTCTCTGTGCTTTTCTTTAACACTTCCTCCCAGCCATTCTTAGTGCTTTAGTCAGAGGTCAACAGACAGGAAGAAGGCTGTGAGGATTGGCTGACCAATCCCCAGCAGGGAATTTGTTCTAACCGTCTTCCGTATTTCTTTGCAGCCTGCAAAAGGAAAGAGCAAGAGCACGGGAAGGACAGAGGCAACACCCCCAAAAAGCCCAGGCTGGTCTTCACAGACGTCCAACGTCGAACTCTACATGCAATATTCAAGGAAAATAAGCGTCCGTCCAAAGAATTACAAATTACCATTTCCCAGCAGCTGGGGTTGGAGCTGAGCACTGTCAGCAACTTCTTCATGAATGCAAGGAGGAGGAGTCTGGACAAGTGGCAGGACGAGGGCAGCTCCAACTCAGGCAGCTCGTCATCTTCAGCAAGCACTTGTACCAAAGCATGAAGTAAGAACCACGGACTAGAACCTCGGTGGAAAAGCTTTAAATTAAATTAAAAGAAAAGTTTTTTAAAGACCAGGACCTCAAGATAGCAGGTTTATACTTAGAAATATTTGAAGAAAAACAAGTGGTATTTATAGTCCAAAGAAACCAAAGACTGAAGCTCACCTGCATTCTGACTTTGTTCAGAGACACATACTTCAGTGGGGCAAGACTCAGCAAGAAAGATGATGGGAAAAGCATCGGATCTCACGCCTTCAACCCCTGCACCTCACTGTGCTTGGCTGCTCAGTGGCTCTAAGCACAGTTATGTTTGAGCCATCGAGTGGACATCCTTTAAGATCAGACATTCTTATCTGTTCCACCACACCACAAAGGTGTATAGTGTCTCAATACCATGTGTGGGTGTGTGTGTGTACACTCATACAAACACCACCACCACCACCACCAACAACAACAACAACAACACCAGTGGTTAGGGACTCAGGCAGGGCTGGTCTTCAGGAAGGGTTGCACCATAGGAGTGTGACCACCCCAGTGTGGGATTTCTAAATTCACTGGATCTGAGATGTGATTTCTCTCATCTAGCCTAGCGTTTGAACCTGCCAGGCCCACAACCTAAACGCAGATTCAAACCCAGCAAAGAAAATTTGAATGGCACCTAAACCAGTGCACTCTCTTTGTTTGTTAAGAAATGTTCAGATATTTTTTAAAAAAATGAAACAAGAGTCCATCCATTTAAAAAAAATCACCTAGGTACCAAAGAACACACAGTATTATAGTGCAGGTATTTTATTGCAATGATTTTAATAACCAAAGCTATTTTTACACAAGATACTATGTAAAGTTATACGTATAAACTGATCTAGCTGTACCCCACATGCCACGTAGATTCAGGACTATTATTTATGACTCTTGAAGCGTTTGAAATATGAGTTTTCAAAACTGGCAAGGAAGAATGTGGCTTCAGGGAAGCAGTTACCACCACAACAGAGAGTCTGATGTGACGCACGTGGGATCCATAAATGCCACTTACAGAAAAGATATAATGCATAATCTATTCATAGCCAAGAAGACTCGAGGACCCTTTCAGAGTAGGTTCCAATGTAAATACTAGAAAACTAAGCTTAACATGGCAGATAACTAAATTAGGAAAATTGTCCAAAGTGATCATTTTTAGTAAATGATCCCCCATTTAAAAAACTTAGACTACTTTTGCTTAAATTTACTTTATGCACTTGGCACCAAATATCTTTTAAAAATCCTTCTCAAACACTAATGAAGCAAGCAGCCCAATAATTAATCACAGTTCACTATCCCATATTTTGTAACCATCTAAAAAGCAATTGAACTGATTTATTGGCAATTTCAGGGGTTTTACAATGTAGATGTTAGGAAATCAACAGGTGCCACTGAGAAGTGGCAGAATGGTAGAACCACATAAAAGAAGCCAGAGTTCCAGTCTCACATAAGACGCTTCACTCTTTCAGAATTAGACTCATTTTACTAAGCATGGCCTCTGAAGCGTGTTACATTCCTTCTTGCTGTCAATGGACTTGGTAATTTTATCACGTGGTTTCTACTCTCTGACAAGGACAGGTTAAAAATGAGTCCCAAGATTCCTAATCAAAGTTTTAAATTTTGCCTTTTTCCAAATCATTTAACCAGGGATGAACAGACCAAGGCAGGAAAAGAAAACAAAGTTCTAGAAATCATTTGACTCCCAGAAACACTCTGTCTGAACTGGGCTGAAGCACAAACAATGTGAACAGACACACCTGCTAAACAGAGAAGTCAAGAATGGGGGACCCTCAGTTAATATTGCACCTCCACAGAGAGATAACACCGAATTGATATTGATAGTGATAGTGAGTTCTTCACTAAGATTCACTAAAATGACAAATGAAAAAAATTAAAATTTTATAACACAAAATCTCACTCTTTGGGGGAGTCAAATCTCAGGACCCAGAGACAGGAATCTAAGCCGACCAGTGGCCCATCCATCCCCTTCCTGTCAATTGAGTGAAGGAAATGCCTTGATAAGTTTTGTCTTAGTATTTTTAAAAGTTCACCCAAGAATCCAACTTAAAAAGTTTTCCTTCTGAATATGGCACCATTCTAGTTCAATCCTGAAGATCCAGTAAATCGCCACCCTTCAAGTTTTGCTTTAGTTTTCAGTAGCAAAAAGGAAAACCAGAAATATATTTTCTCTCTTCATAGTAGAGGGAGCTGGGAAATACAGGGGCATTTATAGTGTAAGAGAGAGGATAGCCTTATTTACTTAAAACAACAGAATTAAAAATTCAGGGGTAACCCAGCTATGTCTACACACAATCTTACCAACTTTAAATACTCCAAGAAAAGCCCAAAAAAAAAAAAAAAGGATTTGGTCAACCTCGTGTCTTGGCTTTGATTTTATCATGTTCCTTTCATGATTAACCCAACTGTGTTTTGCATTTTTTCCAAGCCAATCATATTGGTACTGTGGAGGCAGAGTCTTCAAAAAAAAATATGACTACATTTTAAAAATCAGACCATGATGGGTTTCTGAGAAATAACCAGTTACCCTACTTGCTGACACCAAAGATAATTCTGTACCAGCGTTAAATTTGCACCCAATATACAATTTCAGGGCCCAGAAATATATTTTCTCATAGGGAGAGGCACAAGGCAGAGCCTGAAAAGCAATTTTTACTCCAAACTTTTGCTTCTTAGAAATAGTAGCAGGTAGACCCCACTTTCCATAAGCAATACCTTCTCATGCCCTAGAGGAACGACCCTTTCTTTGCTTTGGAACCAGCATTCAGAGAACATGCTTCAGTCCTTGTTTATGCAGCCCTCACTGATGGCTCCCACCATGACCTGCAGAGCAGGTCACATGTCAGTCGTCATTTGTCATTTCTCAGTCCTTTTGAACCATCCACTCCAAGAGTTTATTTCTTATGGCTATGCACATCACAAAGTCAGGCTTCAAATACTCCTCTTTCTTTTTCTTTCTTTTTATTTTATTATTTTTTATTTTATTTTTTTATTTTACATATGTATATGTACATACATATACATATATTTGTAGAGTGGTTTGAACATAAGTCATTCAGGTTCTCAAATAACTGGAAGCTTTAGCCAAAAGTCGTCCAGAAGGTTGTTTGGAGTCTGGAGATTATAAAACTCAGATTTCAGTAACTGTCCAGATAGAGGAATTCTGGGTGCTGGGGACTAAGTACTCCTGTCCCTGAGCACCATGGAATTGATTCCAAAGACCAAGGAAAATGTATGGGGAGATCCACAAGTGCTGACAGAACTTGACACTTATCATGCCCCTCAGTCCCTCAGAAAGACATAATTATTTTTCCAGAACAACGTAAAAGCATTCGCTATGGACCCGCCCACTCCCACTGTTACCCCAGGTGAAGAACCCGTCTTTGCAGGTTAAATGCAACTTTGCTAAACCAAAGAGTCTAAGGACACTTTCCCTATAGTCCACCCTCCCTCCTTTGTACATACAGGATGAAACTATGCATTCAGCAAACAAAGAGAAAGCACTTCTCCTTTTTCTATCTAGTTGTTTAGGGTGCATTCAAATACCAGAGGCTGTTTAGGGGTGCACTTGGCCTTCTGGGTTATAACTGTGGTGTGGGTTTGCTTTGCAGTGCATTTGGTAACTATTTCCCAAATAGTGTGGACAAAGAAGCAGAAGGTAAGAAATAGCTACTTCCATGTGTTTAAAAAAAAAAAAAAAGGAAAAAAAAGAAAAAAGAAAAAAAGAAAAAAAGTGTAAAGATCTACTATTTATAGTGTGAACCAAAGACGCTACCTCACTCAATTTCCATTGGTGATTTTAATCACATTGATATACCAAAGAATACCAAAGATATTTTCATGCACGGCCATGGTCTGCAGAGGGAACTCCGCCCACCCTTCCCCTTTCCTACCTCCCCTTGTCACTCAGTGTGTAAAGTTGTCTTCATTCTTAATAACAATACGATACCGATAACAACAACATTAGGAACGCCTCTTCTTATTACTGCTACTTCTTGTAAATCTCTAGGCAAACACGTTGCAAAGTTTGTAAACTCCTAGGACGAGTGCCTTGCTTGAACCAAAGTGTTAAACCGCTGTTAACCTCTCTCACCTTATACTCTTTGAATACCTCAGCCTCTTAGAAAGGCCACTAATGAAAAAAAAAAAAAGAATAATTGTTCACCGTGGTGCTTTTTCTGTGCAACCATGCAATGAGACTTTCTTTGATACCAAAGGATGACTTCCCCCACCCCCAATTCTTGCTGATAAACCAAAGCTCCTCCTTTTACTCTGTCCTGAGGCTTTCCCCATCCCTCCATGGAGTCCCTTCCCCAGGCAGGCCGTGTATCACTTTTACCAATTCCTCCAAATACCTCATAGTAATAAAGTTTTAGGGTTATGTTGTATAGAGAGTCTATGTGATAAGGCAGAACTTATTAGTTTGTTAATTGTTAAGGTTACTTTAAAGAAAACAAAAACCTTTATAATTCTTATTTATTTTGTAGCTGTGCGTTCGGGTGTTCCTTCCTTCTCCTTTGGTTTGGGGTTTGTTTTCTTGGCTGAACTCCTCAGTTGCTCAAGGAAGAGTTTAATTTTTGGGAATGTTAAGGGTTGTGTAAAAAATGCAAGAATGGAATAAGAAATGATTTTCATTTTGATGGTTACTTATGAAAGTTTTGTGTTTTGTAGAAAATTTGTTTCTACAGGGTAAAAAATTTATATATATATATATATATAATCTTTTGTGAAACTGGTTCCTATTTTTCTCTATAATGTGCTGTGATTTGTTTTAATTTAATTACATTTTATATGAACTTATTTAATCACTTTGTTAATTTATGACTGTGTAGTTTTTAAAGTGTATATAGTACAACTGAAATGGCCAAAACTTTATGTTACTATCTCTTTTGTTCTTGATGCTAAGCTGAAGGCTTGCCTTCAGGGTGTTGTCTTTAGTTTGTTCTTAGTGGGCACATCTGCATGTGCTCTGAACACTGCCAGCTCCCCCTCAAAAACTTGTACATGTCAAATGAGTGTACCAAGATAGGAAGACGGAAGGCATTACCTGTGGTTTTTTTTTTAATTTATTATTATGTGTTTTTTAGGATAAAAAATATCATTTTGCAGGTAAGACCTGAAATTTCTAAGAGTTTAAGACCTTTCCCAGCATCTCACAGCACCTGTATTTGTGAGATACTTGGTCCCACCCCTGCTTTTGTTTGTTTTCAACTATCCAAGCATGGGTGTAAGTCAAAGCATAAAATCCTAAAGAGACAAGCTAACTTGAATCTGGAAACACTTCTTAACTGCCCTTGTTTCTGCACTTTCGGGTGGAAGGCAGCCTATCCACCAAGCTGTCTTTGAGAGAAAGACAGAGCTGGGAGCTCCCACCACTCCCCAGCAGCCCAGGCAAGAAGCAAAAGAAATTCACTTAGCTCGATGATCACCCTAATTTAGGAAATACAGTTAGAACACCACATCCCTGCTCCCCATGACTGCCTCATCCTTGTCTTACCTAAATGGGAAGGACTCTAATGGTCTTGAGGAGGGATAGCGCATCCCAGAGCTATTTGAATGTGTGTCCTCTCCCTCTCCACCTCACAGACATGAGCCTTGGCCAGGCCCCTTATCCAAGGCAGGTCTGGTTCTTGATCAGCACACACAGTTCCCTCAAGGACCAGGACCACCTTCACAGGAGCTACATCTCGGCTTTACTGACCTAAGCTGCATAGGCCTGTTGATGTACACACCTTTTCTTCTCAACACGAGCATTTGGCCTTCTTTTCTTTTGTAGGCATGTTTGGGGTGGGGAAGGAGACGGGAGGGTGTAGGTTTGGGGTCGACAGGAACAATTTTATACTGATTATATACGTGAATAGGGTAATAAGTCTACCCTAAGCCAAGTCAGGGAGCTGAGGAAGGGCTCTGAGAGAGAGGAGTTAGGATTGGCAATGAAGCTCAAAGCAGAATTCTTTACAAGGTCACATTTTCTACTTCTATGTTAGTGTTAAAAGGGTTTTTTTTTAATAGTATGTTCTGCATTTATTACATAATCATTGTGGGCTCATTTTAGATTTGCCATCTGAACCAACTGAAAATTTAAAAAGTAACAATAAACTTTAAAACATTGCCTTCCACTTGTTTTGCTAGTTGTCTCCTATCTGCCTCCTCCTCTTTTGCTGTCCAGTCAGAACCAGCTCATCTGTCACTCACTGAGACCTGTCTCTTCCCGCCCCCTTTTCAATTTTCAGCACACTTTTGACCTCAGCTATTGTAAGAGTGTGACTCAGTTTCCCTGTTCAAGTTAGCTTGATGGTTTATTATATAAGGAGGGTGCCTAAGACAATCATCAGGTAAAAATTAAAAGATCAGTAGAATAGAAAACCTTCCAAGGGCAGGGGGAGTTCTTCCATAGCAACGAATAAAGAATCAACAGGAAAGGTAAATACGTGATTCATTAACTACACCACCTAACCATGAGGGGTTTAGAGGATTTCTGATAAGAGACAAATGTTATTGTCCTTTTCTTTGTCAATTAGAAGATGGTGGTAGTTTCTACACTGCATCAACACATCAGATGAAATTATTACTGTACCCAGTTAAGGTTGTTTGTTGATACCTCGTCTGTCTTTCTCTGTTGATGCTTCTGTATTTTTCGTGCGAAGCGACAAAATGTGTTGTGTGTTAGGCATTCTTCCGGTTTGTACTGTGTTAAGGTTTCTTTCTTTCCTCTTTTTTAAAATTTATATTTTATTTTATTTTTTGAGCTTCGATACTGTTCTCACTTTATGCCGTGCAATATCATCTGCTGTGTTTGCTAAAGAAAAAGAAAAAGAAAAAAAAAAGCAAGTGGTGATGTCATCATGCTCCCAGTGTTACGATGTTTCCACATTTGTGTAGTCATCAAAATGTAGTGAATAAAATGTTGGATTTTCCAGCACTTTAAATTTACACACTTCTTGCCTTCTTTCATTTTATTCCACTTAAGAGTGCTGAGTGAGCGATCTCTGGATGTTCTCTGGAGGAAGGGCAAAGGTGAGAGGACAGCGTGCCTAAGGACCCAAGCCAGGCTGCTGCGCTTAAAGAAAGATTAAGAAAACAAAATTTTAAATGTAGTTTTATTAATAACCCACTGAGTTCAGTTTGTGTTGCCCGTATACTCACTGGTGTGGGGCCATTCACTGGAACTTGGCCAACCTGCCAAGGGCCAAGCTCTTAAAACCGACTCTTCCTCCAGCAGCTCTCAGTGGTCCATAGTTCCTCAGCTAGGGGTGGGGCTTATGAGCCCCTCCCCCGTCCATACCAGAATGTCGATTGGCTTGATCTTCTCCAGGTCTTAGGCAACCACAGCTGCTGTGAGTTTCTGCCCTACCGCTGACCGACCGCTCCAACCCTTGGCTCTTACAATGTTTCTGCCCCCTTCCTCCATATTCCCTGACCTCTGGAGGAAGTTGGGGGAATAAGCACAAAAAAACAGATGCTGCTTAGTGGAGCAAGAAGATATCTTCCCCCCCAACGCCCACCCACAGACACGTGACCAGGGTAGCCTCAAAGTCATAGACATTCATCTACCTCTGCTTCCCTAGGGCAGGGATTAAAGGAGTTTGTCACCACTGCCTGCCTGGCAGGAGGATGTCTTTTTAAATGGAAGTAGCCCCTTTTGTTTCTACAGGCAAGCTGTTTCTAACAGCCAGATGGACTTGCAAAAGAAATAAAAATGATTAGAGAAAGGCTGGCCCTTAACGGTCCTCCAGTTCTCCACACTAAGAATATACCAAATGACTGTGTATGTGGATGTCTCTGGGGCTACTAGGTGGCTGGATAATTGAGTCCTAATTTTATTTTATTTTGAGACAGGGAATTGCTATATAGCCCTGAATCACACCATGCTTAGAGTTGTCTTTAATAATGACTAAGACATAAGAGCTGGATATGGTGGCTGGACCTGTCACCCCAGCAATGAGGGGTGGGGCTGAGACAGAAGGATGGCTTGAGCCTAAGAGGGGCGGGGCTAGCCTGGAAAACATAGAAAAAAACCCTGTCTCAACAGTGACAACACACCAGTAACAACAGGTTGGGGGAAGGGGGAAGGGAAAAGGGAAAGTAGGTTTGGATTTCCTGTTGTACTTGATCACTAAGGGTATGAGCTTGGGCAAATGACTCCCCCAATCTCAGTTTCCTCCCTGTAAAATGGGGCTGCCTGCATCACTGAGTTGTTATGGAGATTAGAAGTAAGAGAGAATAGTTGTCCTCTGCCTTCCAAAGGCTGCGACCTCATGTTGTGGTGATCTCCAACCAATCATAACATTATTTTTTATGCTACTTCATAACTGCAATTTTGCTACTGTTCTAAATTGTAATGTAAAGATTGGATATGCAGGATATCTGATATGCAACCCCCAAACGGGTTGAAACCCCCAGGTTGAGAAGCGCTGAAGCCCAGCCTCTGGTATGTAAATCCTAGGTAACTCTTAGCTTACCTGCTAAAGGCAGGTTTGCTTTCTCTTTTCTTTCCCATCCAATCCCTGGCATAACCACAGTGAAAACAACTCTTAAGTTAGTGTTTCACTGCTATGAAGAGACACCATGGCTGTGAGTGACAACTCTTCTAAAGGAAAACATTTCATTGGGACTGGCTTATAGTTTCCGAGATTTAGTCCATTATCATCATGGTAGAAAGCATGGCAGAAAGCACGGCAGCATGCAGGCAGACACGGTGCTGGAGGAGCTGAGAGTTCTCATCTTGATCCACAGGCAGCAGCAGGAGGCTGGTTTTCAGGCAGCCAGGAGGAGACTGTTTTACAGCAGGTGTAGCTTGAGCATATATATGAGACCTCAAAGCTCACTTATACAGTGACACACTTCCTCCAACAAGGCCACACCTCCTGATGGTGCCACCCCCCATGGGCCTACCATTTAAACATATGAGTCTATAGGGGCCCCCACAACTGATTCTCAAATCAGGGCTTTCTTTATAACAATTTTTATTACATTTTTATTAATTTATTGTGTGTGTGTGGATGTGTGTGTGTATATGTGCACACATACACTCATACTATACAGCATATGACTAGAGATCAGAGGACAATGGTGGGTGGGGGTTGGGAATCAGTTCTTTCCTTCCAGATATGAGTCCCAGGCATGGAACTCAAAGTCACCAGGCTTCAAG